GCGGAAGCGGCAGCGGCAGTAAATCTATAGGTAGTGGTTCGGTTCCAACGCGTTCACTGATTACAGTCCTGTTTCAACGGCTCGGTTACACGCCTATACACCAATGAACGCGCATACGCCGATGTGTTGCACATACATTTGTACGCCGACTTACCGGATCAGGTGCCGCCGATAAATACACGCAATTACGCCTATCGAACAGGGATACACGGCTATTAATCAGCACAATATATGACCCTTGTGAGAATATTCCAACATTCAGTACTAAGTTTCTGAAATGCCTAAAATTAATTTACATATTTAGGTGCATATGTAGAGAAACCTTGTATTGTTCTCTAGCACGTGACAGTGTGATCGTTTCAATTTATAAAATTATTTTCTTTGACTAATACAACATTTCTGAAAAATATAAACTTTAGAATGTTTTCTGTGTTTAAGGGCTTAGTGCCTGTTTATCTAAGTAGGTATCTATCAAATAAATAGTTTCTGCAAAAAACAGTAGTTGCAGCCATAGTGACATACCCGGGACTTATAAATGTTCGCACTTAGTTGATGGAACAAACAATCACACTTCATGTGTTTGCCGCCGGAAGATAGCGAGACGTTTGGTCATCAAGCTAATTTACAACCATGCAAATTACACTTCCGTCCGGCTATGCAATATTAATTATCCTGATTGCTGCGACAACAATAAACTAGCAAAACGCATATTCTCGAAGCAAATTTTACCAAAACTTTCTAACGTCCTTTCCTTCTCTCTTTTTCCTTCTATTCTTTGTAAACACTCCACCTCAAGTACCTACCTCGCGATGTAGTAATAATCCACTCAACGTATCACCTTTGCACCTAAAACGTAAATAAAACATAAATACAGAAGTGGACGAACGTTAAAAGGGTTGTGTATTTTGTAATTAACATACCGCTCGTGCTGACGGAAACCCTTTTCTTTTCGATTTACAAGGGACGGGAGGGATTAAATTCGAATACTTTTTTAAAAGGTTTGTACAGGTCATTTTTTCAAATATACGACACAACGAGTAGTCAGATTTGTTATTTTCAAAGTAGAGATATGAAGACGAGTCGAAAGGACTTCCATTACGGTATCAGGATGTCGTCCGTTTATCTGCGAGTTCATTTGAATATTATCATTAACTCGCTCGTCCGCGGCATGGCAGCTTTACAATGCTATCGGACTTACTTTGGCACGCGCAAAGCCTCTCTTTGTTTATATTTTAATTTTCTTTATTTTATTAAACAAAGCTACTTTTATAAAAATGTCATTATTTCTACTATACTCTTTAATTACTGATTTCCATATTGTGGAAGTCAGCCTGTATTATATCTACACTGAAACGACGCTACACGGCTAACATGCATTTGGAAAATATTAAGAAAAAAATCATAACTCTAATTTTATTTATTATATGGCAAGCTGAAACTTTCTAGTTTTCCATATAACAAATAAAATTAGAGTTAGGTATGTTTTTTTTCTTAAAAAAATTGCTTAAATCGCTCTCCTGCACGGTTCGATCGAATACTTGCGATTTATAGGCGATTGCATCGATGCAAACGCGCGACTGCATCGATACAAACTGTAGCGATGCAATCGCGCGTTTGTATCGATATAGTCGCGCGCTTGCATCGCTTCCTAAAATCGCGCGCGTGTTTAGACGATTAGTGACTGTATCACTACTGCATCGCTGCTAAATGTCGCCGTGTGTAAACGCTCTTAGCCGTTGTACCTTTCCATTCCGTCGATATCATCTACCATACAAAAGTGTGGATGAAAGTGTAATATTTCTGCAATGTTGTCTGAGGGCATTCACATAATAAGCAGTAACAGTAAAACAAGAGGACGATAAAAGCGTCGTGTCTGGAATTGCTTTGGTGCATGATCGTATTTCCATATGATCGGCATTGTCTCCATAGAGCAATTCCCACCGTGTGCCTTTGGACAGCGATCGCTGAGCTCCTTGCTGTACCTACTTGCTTCAAAGATTATGTTATGCGCCCTGTCATTATTACCATTTCACGACTATCTACGAAGTCCGCAATCGATGCGGTTGCGTTGGTAACGCTAAACTCAAAGCACTTTTATAAGAAAAAAATAGACAGGTAGGTAATAGCCTTTCTGGAAAGTTCCAAGCCGACTTCCACAAAACATTTGCGTTGTGAGGATAAAATACCAAATATTTGGTTAAGATTTCTTTGAAAAACAATTCATTTTACCTCTCAGGGGTTCCTTAAAAAATACAATGAATTTTAGTAACTAACATTACACACTTTTTAATATTGATCCTTTAAAATAAAACTCAGAGCAGTCGCGAGGTTATCGTAGAGCCAACCAATGGCCAAAGTAAACTCTGACTGTTTGCTTTTAATTAACCCATGGTCAACAACCGACTTTGCTCCATACACTTTTGATGAAACAATTCTACTGCACTTAATGTCGCAGGCTATTCGATTGACTATACTTAGTGCTTGTGTTAAGTAATGCGATGTTAGCTACCTCTACAACCACCGCGAGGAAAACGGTCATACAGTTCTTCAAATTCAAAACTCGATTTCACCGGTGATTCAATTCGTATCAAAATTAGATGATGCAGCACAAAGTACGATTTGATAGACATTAATTGCGCCTCCAATTTTTCAATATTCCATTGTTGAGTGATAAATCGGTTCTTATTAATGGTGAAAGAGAAAAATTGCCGATAATTTCCTCATGTTCAATGCAAATGTGATTGTAATAAACAGGCGATGTCTGAATCACGAGTTTTATCAGATTGCTTTTATCTGGTTCAACTTTCTCATTCTGCTAATATTGGCCGTAAATCCCCCTGGACATAACCAACCGCAAAGTGGTCGACGCTCTCTCACTTCGCCGCTTTACGAAGATTCAACTTTTCAGTGAAAAAGTTAAATGGTCTGGAATGAAGCATCGGTAATAGAAAATGGATGACAATTCTCATTTCCTTGTTCGATTTCATTCACACCAGATAACTTTAAGTTATAATAGTAATACCTCATTGTTCTCATGCTTGTATGATTAGTCCACCGTCTTCGTATTGTTTAGCTCTAAAAATACTTTACTTTCCACACTTCTGATTTATAAATTAATATCATGTGCTTTCTTTCTCTACTCATAATGAATTAATATAACAATTAGCAGACCTATATTTTCTGAAGCGTTAGTGATTTATTTACCGGTTCTTCGTGTTTTTTAACCTTTGTTGGTGAGAATAGCTATAAGTAGGTATGTGTCTTTCGACAAAGATAATTCTAACATCCAAAAACAAAAGTAAAATGCGAAACTGACTTTTATATTATACACAATTCACGTAGACATAGAACAGGATATAGAAATAATACAGAAACTACGCTACCAACGCCCTCCGGAAATTAAAATTTTCTAAAGCGACTGCAAATGAAGGCGCATACATCGAAATTACTTTCACAGCCTTTGTTACGTCTACATTCCTCATAAATTCCGCTTTGGAGTTAGAGGGAAAAATGATGATACACTTTTAATGAAACGTTTTTTCGGCGTTGTTTGACTAACACTCGATCTGAGGTTCAATAAAGCAATCGCAAAGATACGGACGTTTTAGATATTCATAATGCAAAGGAAAGCACAATCAGATTTTCATTGGAAACTGGGAGAGCGACTAGGGAGGTGGGCGCGGACGCGGGCTTCTAGGAGGGAGAAATGAATACTTATTGCGAAAATGAAGCGGGCCATTAATGAACGCCGCCTCCGCTGAAGCGATCGGACGCGATTTAATTCCCTTCGAAAAATATTCAATAAACACCGCAAAGACCCGCCTTACTCGGATCAACGTCAAACAGCCCAGACAAATTGCAGACTAGCGAAATTACAAATTCTTCTTTACAAGCGATTTCAAAACCAGGACTTCTGATTTGATAACGTGAGAAACGTTATTGATACCGTACTAAGAGCTGTTTCTCTACAAATTATAACCCGTAAGTACTGAACTGTGTCTAAAAATCGATACTGCGTGATGGATCTAATTTTAACCCGTTTTTTAATATATGTATATATTAGTGTTGCTACAAATAATAAGTATTCGGACTCTGACCGAACATTGAATTCACCCAGAACTGTTGCCGAATAACCGACTATTCGGCGTGATTAACGCAAGTACGAAAATTGGCACGATAAATTTATGTCACGATATATTATTATAATATACAAAGTAGAATTTTGCACTGTGAAACAAAAAAGATACTTTAATTTATAAGTTTATACTTAGTTTAAATTTATGACTTAAATGAAGAAAATTATTGTTTATTTCACTTCACTTTCAAAAACTTAATTTTGCTTTGGATTGCAAATATTAAATAATTGATTGGTTTTTTTAGCGTTTACTTAGTTATGAGTAAACTACATAATAAGTAAGAAATTTGCATTTGATATATTACCTTTTTTAGATCTCTTAGAGAAATTAGTATGTCACATTTTCTTTGCTTTTTTACACAAAGAATTAAAAAAATGCGTTTTCGCAAGCTCCCAACATAAATGTTCAGCATTAATAAAGAAAGTTACATGATTGTTTTTTATTTACCTATTGTTTTTTCCCAATTCTTAAAGGCCGAATAATGAGTTGGTATTCGGTATCGGCCAAATACCAAAAACAGGAGGAATAGGCCGAATAGTAACCGAAAATTCGTTATACATACAGTGATATACTTTTGATTTAGAAATAGATAGAACACAATTTCACATCACGGGCAAGATTATTCTTATCGACTTCCATAAAAGCCCACTTCAGTGTTCACAATACGAGAGAATCATCTATTATGTTCCATTGTTGAGTACTGCCTACAATAACGGTGGGATTTTTGTTAACAGTTAGGTACGGTTTCTCTCTCAAAAACATCTTTATCCTACATATGGTCAACCTTATTAAATTTATACGTAATACGAAAAGGAATGATTAAAAAGATACATAAAAAAATTGTTTGTAATAAATCTTTTATTCTTACATATCTTTCAACGCCTTAACAACACAAATATTATACAATAAATAATTCTGTAACTTGGACCACGCTTGCGTTGCGGTTTCCTCCACCGATTCTAGAATTACCCTAAGCTCTTCATTTTGAGATGTCGTTTTCGTATGCGTTTTTAAGAATAAACTCAAATACGATTGCGCTAATTCGAAATCCCTATTGGTTTTCAGCATAACGCCTAACATAATAAGGAATTGCTTCATCACCTGTATGGACCCGCCTGTTTCAGGGTCCATGCTAGTTACTTCAGCTTCTATGGCAGCTGGAGATAATGTTTTTAACTTCTCTAAACATTCGATATAGCTATCGTCATCATCACAAGCTATTAGTTTTTTTCCAAAAGGGGTTAACGTGGTTAGAATTTGGGGTATTAACAGCTTAGTTTCTCCGGCTTCTTTTTCTTTCTCGAGGTCAAACTCTAATTCTAAGCTAGGTATTGTGGGGAGGAAGAAAGGCGCTGATTTTGGCACAGTAAAGGGTGTCTTAGGTTTGTTTCGTTTCTTCACAATGTCTAGGTGAAGAAGATTCAACCATCGGGATGTAGACTGGTCTGATAGCGTGATGAGCTCTTTACTGATCTGCTCCGGTGATTTATATTCAACCTCCTCTCCTAAATCTATGACACCAATATCTTCGATATCCGGTTTCTCTGGGGCTGTGTTTGGTAGCTCTGGAAGAATGTACTTATTGTTATCCAAATTACAATAAAAGATTATTAAATGTACTTCTGATAACTCTCGACACCAAACTATAATAAATTACATTGCCTCGTTAGAAAATCTAAAAACGTTGAAATTTAATTGTAGAAATGCATTGGTAAAATAATCTCAGTACAAAGTACTAAAAAACCGACCTCAACAGTTCGTGACATTAATCTATTTACCAAGTTTTATTGAAATCGGTTACCGGAAAATGCGCGAAACTTGATTCATCCCCTGGTTTGCCATCTTTAGAGGTGGAATATTTTCTTCAAATTTAAATGGGACCAATACTGAGTGACCCTCTTTCCAACAAAAAAAAATAGAATCATCAAAATCAGTTCACAAATGTCGGGAGCTAACGCGTAACATCATACAAAAAAAAATACGCTGGAATTGAGAACTTCCTCCTTTTTTTGAAGTCGTTTAATTACATATTTTTATATGGACTAATGCCGTAAAGTACAACTATTTTATAAAGGTCTCTCAGTAATCTTCGCGTTACGGCTGTCGTCGGATTTTTATCAGTTGACGTATGCACAGTGTTGCCATGTGCACCGTAATTACGATAAATGCACCGTTAACAAAAAATTTACCACCTAACGTCGACACATGACAACGGTGACAAAATCTACCGTAATCTGCAGGAGCTGGATTTTTTGTAGTAAAGCATAGTTAAGCGAGGTGCAAGATATGCGGTTAAATTAATAATAACCCAATCTAAAGGGGTTTAGGGAAATCTTTTGATGCAGCAGTCTATCCAAAGGCACATGCAAAGATGCGTCAATTTTAAGCCTGACGAGGAAATGTTGAAAAGATTAAAACAAAACTTTTATAAAAATGAAGAGATTGTATTTGGTAATTGTTGTTTTATAAAAAGGATCAGATTTTAGACAAATTTTCATTAAGGTATTCATCTCCTCATTTTTGTAAACGTTCAGAAAAAAAAATTTCTTTTTCTTATTATAATTCTAATTTTCTTTTGTAGTAAAAAGTTAATTATGCACAATTTTTTTTTCATTAATATTTACTTAAATATAAGTTAAAGTAAGGAAATTCACTCTCATATAGGTTATTCTTACAAAGTTAAGTTACTATTGAAAGTATAATAAATTAATAATATACCATAATTACGCTGTTTTTTTTCTGGGCATATTCACCGTAATTTCTTAGATCTACCGTATTTTACGAGCGGAATCACCGTCGACCTGATTTTCGACATTGTCAACACTGCGTATGCATTTGGTGCAGACTAGACGCATTAAATCGACTTGGAAGTACCAGTACTCTTTATTTTGGTTATATATTTGATAATTTGCTTGGTACATTGGATTGACCTAATGATACATTGTTAAGTAGTAAATGTTATTATAGAAATATTTTTACAGTTCCATATAACTAAAATGGAAATCAAACAATAATAAAGTACATAGCTCTGAATTCAAATTATTATGGATGATAAAGCTAATAATCACTAGATATGGCAAATTGTACTCGGATGTACTCGAAAATCCAAGGATTGCCGAGAGATATTAAGAAAAAAGTTTGTGCTGTAGAATTAGTATAGTTCACTATAAAGGCAGCACATTACGCTCCATGGAAATATAATTCATTTGAATAAGATAATGGTACTTACTTAACCGGGGAATGTCAACTGCTTGTCTATCAATAGGTTTAAGGAAGACTTTCTCATATAGCAACTTGTTGGCCCAAAGAAAGACTCCCAGCTCGCCAACGTGTGTAGTCGCCAAATAATCACCTGTTGGAGACATGCTTAGGGATGTACAGGGCCGCTCCACCTGAAAATATAGTGATAATAGTATAGTCGGTTCAGAATTCTTCTTAGCTGTTTGACTCGTTAGTGGCCGTGGTCGTAATTTGGCAGTTATCACCATTCTCTTTGTTTTTTTTTTCTTTGTTTAATAACCGACTTTCAAAAAAGGAATTAAAGAAGAAAGGGGTTCTCAATTCAACTGTATATTTTGTTATATGTATATCACGCGATAACTCGTGAATTTGTGAATATTTTGATGATTCTTTTTTGTTCGAAAAAGGGTACCTCAGTATTGGTCAGTGGTTAAATTTTAAGAAAATATTCCACTTTCTTGGATGTTTTTTTTAGTACTCTGTACTGAGATTACATTGAGCATGTAATGAATACTTTACGCCGTATAATATGTACTTACGGAAAATACATCGACAAGTTGCCCGCTTGGTATGTCCCAGGTACAAACTGTGCAGTCCATTGATGAACTAATTAGCCACCTGTCACAAATATAATTAATTTTAATATTAATACTTTTCAATTTTATACAATGTGTAAATAAATTAAATTATTAGTAGGTCCACATGTCAAGTCTCTTTAAAGTAACAATACATACACAGTTAGTCTTGCTTTCGGGTTTCATTAATAAGTCTAGACCACGATACACGTTTCGTAATTACGTGTTCACTCAAATAAAATTATACATATGCAAATACTTTGTATGTAAGGAATTCCATACTTTCAGTAGGAGGTTTCAAATTTGAAACTTATGTATTTTTTAAACTATATAATTTAACAGGAAACTCACTAACCACACCCCATAGGTTTCTAGATTGTGTTTACTACATGTTATTGAGTTTGAATACTTTACATTCAAAATAGGATAAAAGTTCATTTATAAATATAAGTGTGATTTGTATATATTAAAAATTTGTTACCTGCTCTGACAATCAAAGTCAATAGCGTTGATCTTCCCACAATGTCCTTCAAACTTCCTAACAATGTTCATAGTATCAATGTCAATAAGAATTATAGAGAAGTCCTCATTTGCAATAGCCAAGAGTCCACTGTCGCGATGTAGCTTTGTACTTGTCACTGATTCTTCTAAACGCAGGACATGGTAAGGTGTTGTTGTTGCTGAAATAATATACAAATTTACTTTCTTACTTACTCAAAATAAACTTGAACTGTATGTTTGAATATTTATTATGAAAAGTACATCACAGACCCTTAAAGTAATGACAAATGAACAAAACAAAGTGCAAACTCAAAAACAACATGATGTAAAATATTGTAAATAAGTTTAATAATATCTATTTGAAATTAATTAGTCCAAAGTTAAAAATCTCTTTTTATCAATAAATTGAGCTCACCACTTTTAAAATGCCAGAACTTGAGTTTATCATCAGAGCCAGCAGTAATCACCCTTTGGTTGCAAAGATCTGTTTCCACGCCTCTAACTGCACCAGTATGCGCCAATCTTTTTTCCTTGCCATAGTGCCCTCTGTGGATGCCTGACTGCATATTAAATTTATGCACTTGCCCATTGGAGTAGCCTGAAACATAGCAACAATGTGATCCATGGTACTCAGGGACAAGTATTCTTTATTTTAAATTCCTGTTTGTTTAATGAATGGCATTTGTGAAGTGTCATTTCATACCGTAGAGAAACAATTAACAAAAGTTAAAAGGAAATTGAAACATCGAGTTTTGGCTTGAGCATTTCTATTACTGATAAAAATTATATATGGGAAGAATATAACAAGTTTAGTGTGTGTCTACTGTGTCTACTGCGTTGTATTTAGTAAGAAGATTTATCAAATTCAGAAGTAGTATATAAATTTGGTTCAGAGTGTTATCCTGCAAGATAATGTAGACATATAAATCCTTACCAGTAATAACAAAATTTCCACAATGAGTAACAGTCAAACATGTTGCCACTACTCCCTTCTCAAACTCTGGTGGTTTCAATTTATGCTGTCCCATACATATCTTATTGTATGACCATGTAGTAACCAAGTACATTCCTTCATGCAGCGTGGCAATACTATCCCATTGCTTGTCTCTTTGCATACATGAACTTAGTTTCGTGATCGATGGGAGAATCAAGAAATCGTTTTTTAAACGATCTGCAAGAAAAATGGTTATGTTATGCCTTTCTTATGCATTTTTGAAACTATTATTTTTATTAATTCTTTGGAGGTATCTCTTTCTTCTACTTTACACTACAACAAGTATTTATAATTCAAAGTTAGGCCAACTTATAATCATCTACTTGGAATATTCCTTCAAACCAAAAATAATAAAAAACACATAACTTACTCTTCCTTTTAGATGCTTTCCTATTACGTGAGGCCTTGCCCATACTTTTGTTAAAAGTTTCTGTAATAGTATTCATAATATGGAGACTGCTGTCACTACCAGCAGCCAGAAGATTCTCCCCAGTTGGCTCGCAATAGGATACTAGGTTTGGAGGCATAGCATGTCCTTCTCTGAAACAAAATATATCATCAATGCCGCTATATTGATCTCAGAACATGAACCACAGGCTTTAGATTGCAATTTCCAAGTGCTTTCAGTGTAGTTGCTGCCGGGAGCAGGCAGAAAAGTATCAACTTACTGACAAAATTCAATTATTTACATTGAATATTTTATATTGAATCAATATAAGCACTACGGCACAGAGAAAAGCAGAGACATGTTTGTGTGTGATATTGTTTAAGTACTGTCCAAGAATGGGTCAAGTTTTCTCATCAACCTATTTTATTTTAATTGCAATAGAACAATATATGTACAAAAACCTTAATACCTGAATACAAAGTATAATTTTTGTTAGGCAACAAACCTTTTCTTTAGCAATCTAGCACCACCATCAGGTAAGTCAAATATCCACATCTTCAATGAATTGTCTTCTGAATTTGTAACCATCAAAGGTTCTGACATTAAACATTGCATGCCAGCAATCCTCAAAGAATGTGCAGACTCCACCTGAGACATCACCCGCTTCTCTTCAAGGTCCCACATCACAATGTGGCCTTCTGTGCTGCCTGTCAACATTACAGGTACTCCATCTAAGCGAAATGAGATACAGCTAACCATTCCCCAATCATGAGTGAAATCCATTACACTCTGATCATATCGCAAGTTGTGTAGAATGATTTTCCCATTCCCAAGAGCTATTGCAACTACATCGACAGCTGGGGCTGGCTCCGCCACTGTCACAGCCGAGTTCCATCCTTGGAAAGTGTATACAAGTTTCGATGTCCTCAGATTCCATAACTGAAGCTGTCCCTGTTGACTTCCTATCAAGATTTTGTTCAAATATGTAGGAGGGTGACAAAGTGTTGAAATTTTGAAATGTTCTTCATCGAATTCTAGCTCCAAGAACTGTGATTCGTCCTTTATATCAAATACTCTCAGTATGTTGTCTTCATCAATTGAAATAATGTGAACACCAAACGGTAACAATAAATGCACTGGTGCATCGTGACCTTTATAAATGTGTTTAAGCTCACAACCTCTTCTCCAAGCATAAATGTTGTTTTCACTAGCTGTATACACATGATAGTTATCACCACTCATGCATGTTATAGGTCCTGGATGTTCACCGCTAACGCTCAGTAAACGGAATTTAACGCATCCATAGGTATGAAACCACTTTCCTACGCTTGTACAAAGTAAATTTTCACCTCTCCTTTTGATAAATCTGGCTACAAAAGGAACATGTGTACTAACATAACCTAACACTCGGTTCCCGCGGAATATGCGACTATTAGACTTCTCAGTCATGTTGATATAAAATATCGCAAAGTAATGTCTCCGAAAAGTATTACATCACACACTTGTCCATTAATAAAAGTAAGTTAAACAGTTTTTACTTTTTACAAAATTATTTCAAACATATCATTTTTTTTTAAGTAGAGTTTTAACGGCTTTGGCATAATGCTATACTATGGATAAATTACATTAAAGTTTTTTTATATTATTATAATGGCTTTGCTTTCGCATTATTGTGTTTTACTTGACGGCAGGTATCACAGACTATTAGATGTGGGTACGCGATAGCGACTTGCCACGCATGTAATGGGACGAGCTCAGAAATTAGAAAGATAATAGAACGAGTTGTATTTTTTTCAACACGAGTTATTGAAAAAAATACAGGCTCAATAATAAATAATTGTATTACAGGCTCGAGTATGCCATAGAAGAAATGAGAATAAAAGAATGAGAATGAAGAATAACAATTAAAAATATTTGAATTGACATACCTGACAAACATTTTAATTGAATACCTCGCAATTCCAGCGAAGATTATTTCTTCTTCAGAACGTTTATTCTCAAAACTGCCCTCAGAACGAAAAAAGGCACAACTGCTGTATAAAGTACGCATAGTTGTGCCTTTTTTCGTTACGAGTGCAGAAAGCAAGCCATACAATGTCAAAAACGGAAAACAGACTGTCATCAAATCTTAGGGTCGTATTCTAGAACTGTACCTACTCAATGCTCAAGTCAGAATTTGAGTATGGTTTAAAGCACTCGAAATCATATTCAAGTCCATGCCATTAGAGTCGTATTTCCAGTGCTTGAAATGATACTCAAGTCTGCTCAAATCCTGACTTGAGCACTGAGTACAGTTCTGGAATACGACCCTTACGTTCGTATTCTAGAACTCTATTCAATGCTCAAGTCAGGATTGCACTGGCAACACAAGCACTGGAAATACGACCCTAATGGCAGGGACTTGAGTATGATATCATGTGCTTTAAACCATACTCAAATCCTAACTTGAGCATTGAGTAGACTTCTAGAATATAAGCCCCTTAAGACTATTTTTTTCCATCGTATAAGCATCAAATACATTTTTGTTTTTATGTGATTGCACAAATTATATGAAATGACGATTGATGGAATTGATCAATTGATTGAAATAATAATGAGTAAAGAGTAAAAGCCATTTATTTGTTACAATGAAAAATCATAATAAATAATCATAAGACAAAGAATAATTAAATCATAAACTAATTTCATTATTAGATACCATGTGTTTTCTATTCAAGTGTTTTATTCTGTCTTTAAGTTGGGAAAATCTGCAGGACACCAATACTTTTATAAGTACAATAATTTTTGTGCGATACTACTCATGAGTATAGTATCGATACTTTTGATTCGATACTATGTCCTTAACCGCGACTCAAGCGAGCTCCGCTGGCTCCGAAGGTCACCGAACCGACCGAGTGAGTACGAGTAGCCGATGCGCTGTATGAATGAAGTTATTCGGTATTTTATTTGTAAGTCAATGGTATTTCCATTTGCATTATCGAATTTACCGCGTCAAGTGCTCCATGAAATATGCCGTTTTGCGTTGCGCCACACAAAATTGTAAAAAAAAGATCAAGTACATCCAGTTTAGCCAAGGATAGAATTGCATTTCTTAAGTAAGTATATTTTTCCATTAATTATTGGTTTTTTAAATAACATATTTTATTTTCGATGATCACATTGATTCAATTCATCAATTACATAGAAAATCAATTCATTCAAACATTTGAATTACCTATCGGTCTAAAAGATGATAATACAATTATTCTTCGCTTAATCATAGACCTTATCACAAGGAAGTCCTTACCATTAGGGTCGTATCTCTAGTGCTTCTCTCTTGCTAATATACATTTTGTAGGTATTAACATATTTTTAATACTTAAACTTTTTTAAACTTAACATTTTTAATAATTTAACTCAATAAAAAAGAAATCAAAAACAATTACAAAGGTCATATTACAAAATTGAAAACTATGTGTTAGATAAAGATATGTAAAAAGACGACATGAGTATAGATTCAGCACAAATTTGATTCAAAGTGCACTCCGTACCATATAAGTTTATTTGGAAAAGAGCAATCCTCTAAAGTTCTTTCTTCTCAGGGAAGGCGGCATAGTGAACAAGCAGTATCTTACTTAAAATGACGTTTTTAAGTGTAATTTATTTTACCTATGAAATAAATGATACTTTGACTTTGAAATAATAAATAAAATATATGAACATAAAAATAAAAATTCATCTAACAGCAATCTTTAAAGAAAATAAACGATGTTTACTTACAAATAATAAAATTAAACATCTTGAAGTATTAAATTAAGCAATATAACTAAATGAAAAGCTTAAATTATTTTAAAATTCACCTAGAAGCTCCAAAGCTTCATCTAGAAGTTTTCTAAGAATAGATAAGTAAGGGTCCGGAATGTACAAAAGCGTATTTATTTATTTATTCATTAATTCATTCGTTCATTCATCCATCCATTCATTAATTTATTCATTCATTCATATTTATTTATTTGTGGAAAACCAACAGCTTTACACAACAAATTAAAAAAACATCATCAAATACAAATCACAAACTCGAATTTCTTTTTTCCGAATTTCATTACTCCGAAAACGGTTCGACTATTTTTCATTACTACTGCGATGACGGTTTTGGTATAAATTTGCAACACAGAAATGTCTTCCAACAGAAGTATCGTTTGTCGGAAAATCTATTAGAATAATTATTACACGTATGTATTATTTGAGCAGAAGCTTGTTTGCTTTAACCATGTTTGTTATACGTCTTGTTTTCCATATAATTTAGATTGCTGAAAATTGGTAAATATAACTGAAACGAGGAGAGTACCAGAAACTAATTTGTTTGCATTTCCTAGCTAGGTCGACACCCTCTTGTGGGTTTTGGTTAGGTGAGCGAGCGAAGCGAGCATGCCTGATGCATGAATTTTCGCAGTATCCATCTTTCTTGTCTAAATTGAATAACAAAAA